GGTGGGGGGGTAGGGGGGTATCTGCGCCTCTTTCAGTCAAGGCAACTCCGGTCGCGTTTGTTGGTTGCTGCAGAGAAGTTAGAAAAGGATTCGGTCATTAAAGGAACAAGAGCAGTCGTGGGTACCTTGAAGTTGTGCTGTGGCACAGGTTAATGGTGGTGTTATGGAAGTGAATTGGGAGACGAGCGAAGTAGAAAAGGAGACGGTCTTGTTGGGAAACCTCCTGTATTAAGCTTTCCCCAAATATTTCCAAGGGTATTACATGTAGTTGGGATTGCTTAAGGGACTGGAGGCAAGCTTGGCTCTGTTTATGCAAATATAGGGAACGAGAAAAGAAAAACACCCCCCCCGGCTACAGTGTCGTTTATTGTATAAAATTGAGGATTGGATAGAGATTTAGGAAGATGTTCTCAACTCCTGTCAACTCCAGAAGAAAATAATCTCTACCTCCAAAGGTGGAGAGCTGCCCTCATTTGGGCTGCTTCAGGAATGTCCTCTCTGCTGTGAGGATCGTGCAGGTATAGACTTGGGTCCGTGATGGTTCCAGTGAGGTGGAGGGAGATAGTTGTGTTTGATTAAAAGGGTGAACATGCAGCTGTCTTAAAACTGATCCTGTAATCATGAGTGGAGCTTTGTAGTTTGCCTTTATGTAACAGTTTTAAGAGTTTTCCTTAGCTTTCTGTACATGCCATTTTTATTGATGTGTGATTATTTGTGTTATAACCTGTGTAACATCCTTAAATGTTCTTGAAAGGAAAAGCTTGCTAAACTGAACTGATATTAAAGCAGATGATGCTGAGATGTATTTCACTGTATTCCTTTCAGAGAGAGCTTTAAGATAGCTTTCTGCTAGTTCTAGATAGGATTATCTGCAGTGTAAGATTGGAATCCAGGCTTCAGTGCTGCAGAACCCAAACCAAAGTGTGTGTCCTCAAGAGGTAAATACACAACTTCACAAAAGTCACAACCTGGAGACGTGCAGCATAAGGCTGAAGGTCTGATTCTTGGCTTAAACCAGTGGTTTTGGGTTGTTCCACGTGCCTGGTTGCTCAGGGTTCCTCGACAGCTACATTTATCTTCCATCTTAGTCTCTCTTCACCTGGAGGTTCATTGACGTGTTGCCTTTCCAGCCACTGAACATCTCCACCTCCAGACTTGCAACTAATGTAGGCTGAAGTTTATTTTCCTTTCACTCGAATTCCTTTGGAAGTTGCCAGTACTTTGGCTTCCAACAAACTTGCTTGTTGTTAACAAAATACAATCTTTTTATTCTGCTGCAGTTTAGAGAAGTTTGTGGTTTATTTGATTTACTGCAGGAGCTCTGAAGTGGAGATGTTATCAGTACAGTTGTTAAACAATCCAAGGCAGGCAGTGCAGCGTGGCAGATAATTTGTGTGCGAGCTGTACAACACAGATCCTGAAATCACAAAGTCTCTGCTGGTGTATGAAGACATCACCAGGATGTTCTTTGGAACCTCTTCACTGAGAAATCCCTGCTTAAGTTTTGATGTTGAAGGTGATGCACAGGCTTTTCCAAGTTAAAACAGCCGTCTAACCATGGACAGACAATGTCTTACAGCTTCAAACTATATTTCATGCTGCAGCATTTTGTTTTGGTCGGTGTGGGCAGGCTGCCTCGTTTGAGGTTTTGTCTGCATGGTCTCAGGAGCCCAATTAGCTCTATGTTAAATCTGCAGCACTTACTCAGCCGTGGAAGCAAATGTTGAAGCTGCTGGATATAAATCTCATTAGTATAGATGCACACTTTGTGCCGTATCCCAGGAATTACTAAGGTCACCTCAGTAAAAGAGTTTTTTTCATAATGAGAGCTACAGACTTGATGAGACAAAGATGTCAATGTAATTTCAATTAACTGGTGTTAGGTCTGTTCAGCTTGGTGGGGAGAGGCCAGGACTGTGAGCAGCCCCTTCCTTGTTGGCACCTCAGGTGCAGCTAAGGTTTTTCTGCTAGGTTTTGGTTAGTAAACATTAGGGGTTTTTGGGGGGGGGAAGCACATAGCGGTCATATTCTAATCTAAACTTGCTTGTAATTGTACAGTGACATGGTGATGTGCTGTAGGTGAACACTGAGCTGAGTAAAGGAGAAAATAGTCTTGAGGCAGGGGGTTGGGTTTTCTTCAGCTGAAGCTTTACTAGACAGTGGGATCTCCCCCAGGAAATAAACAGTCTGATGAAAGCATAGTGATACCCTGCTGGGGACAGATTTGCTCTGCCCAAGGTATGGACTGTATGGACAAGTATGCTTTGATAGATGGTGAGTGCTTAGTTTGCAACCTGCTGCCTGTTAAAAGTCATTGAAAGTCTCCCAAAGGCGCACCAAATGAATTCCTGCTTTGGCTGAAGCCAAGAGGCTCAGCATCATTGCTAGCAAAGAGCTGTTGCTGCAGAACCCGTTCTATTATGTCTCTTTTGTTGCTGTAATGATCTGTGTGGAGTAATTACAAAAGCTTGTTTGTTTGAATGACTAAAACTGGTACAGCAGATGAATACTTCATCTACAAAGTGACATGTTTCCTGAATGTTAGGCTTAGTGGTTAATTGTACAAGGGAACTGGGGTTTGCACTACTCCACATGCTCCACAGTAAAATTGGAGGTAGCTTTCCAGAATGGTCTTGTGTTCTGGTGTAATGCTGTATATGTTGTTCTTCTGCAGATTATCTCGACAATGGCAATAATAAAATGGCAATCCAGCAAGCAGACAAGCTGCTCAAAAAACACAAGGATCTCCACTGTGCAAAGGTAAGTGTGACTCTGGTGCACTGGCCTCCTTTGGTGAGCGTAGCTCTGAGGCTTGGTGGTGGTGTCCAGGATCTTCCAGAGACCACAGCGTTTCCTGAACCCTCTGGAACATCTCGGGCTGTTCTAGTCCCCAAAATATCATGTTTGCCTGAAAACTTGGACAGATCCTCTTGGGGAGGTACCTCTGACTGGAGCGTTGTTGGGTTACACGTGGGCTGTGCCTTAAAAATGCCTCTTTTAGCCCTTAGGTTGGGATGCCTGTCTTGAAGTAGTTTAGACCAAAAATTTTCCTTAGGAGGTGCAGTCCTCAGTAAGACATAACAAGGTGATTTTGGAGGCATTTGCTCTTCTGCTTCTTGTTTGCTGCCCTCTTTGCCATGCCCCTGGTAAAGGCAAAGGAGTTCTGTTCCTTGGTTTCCCGAACATATGACTATCTTCCTACTTTTCTCTTTTCCCTGTGGGTTTTCCTCTATAGTTGAAAACTCACAAAGCTGAAGCAAGTGTCATTGACCTGAATCTCATTTATGTTGCTTCTCTCTGGCCAGTTATTGAAGGAAAAAACCGAAAATGGGCAGGCCTGGTCAGTTTTCAGTCTGCAGGTTGGGAGAACTGAGCGGTGGCTGATGCCTTTGAGCAGCCTGCATGTCTGTTAAAGAAATGCAAACCCACACTATTGATACAGCTTGCATTTGGAAGTTTTCCTCTATACCATATGGATTAGAAGCCTAATAAAACCTGAAGGTCTGTAGAAGTGATGAGGTGGTTGAGCAAAGCTTCTCCCCACCAGGAATGAGGGTTTTCTCTGGTAACTGCCAACTGTGTTTCTACCAGCTGCCTCTTTGTTGTGTCGATAGGTTCTGAAGGCAATTGGCTTGCAGAGGACTGGCAAGCAGGATGAAGCGTATGCTCTGGCACAAGAAGTAGCAGCACTTGAACCCACAGATGATAATTCCTTGCAGGCACTCACCATCCTCTACCGGGAGATGCACAGACGTAAGCTGCTTCTTTTCCCTCTCTTAAAAATCGTCATTGTTTAGATGCTTCTAAAAGTCTGTGTCTCCCACAGTTTCATGGGAACGATTGTTTCTGGCAGCTTCTTGTGGTTCTTGCTGGTGGTAGTAACCTTTGTAGTTGAATTGCTAAAGCAATGGCAGTGGGGTGAAACAACTTCTTTAGAAATGGATATTAGGTACCAGTCTGCAATACAGCAGTTGCTTATGCTCTCCTAGCTTCTTTCTGCATGTGTAGGTATATGTGGAGTCGAAGCATCATTTCTTGAATAATATGAAATGTTTTCTCTGTATGTGTGATTTCAATGTAAAGATGGCAAAAGCCTTTTGGTGATTCTAAGCTTGCATAAGCATTAAGCTCAGATTTCTAACGTTCAGGTTTATAAGTCAGAAAGGAAGTAGTGGGTGTCAGGCACTTCCACTTTCAGTCCTGCAAGAAAATTGTGATTAGATGGTTTATGTATGTGTGTTGAGGACATGCAGAGCGTGTGAAAGACAACTTACATTTAGTTTTCTAATACTGCACTGAGAGATGACTGTATGTATAAGGAAAAAAACCCTCTGGAAGGATGAAAATGTAAGTTTTGTGTATTACAATACCATAAGAACTTAGTCATGACAAACCTATTATTAAAACGTACTCTGATGTATTTTACTTGTTAAGAGTACTAAAATAGGCAATTGGGAAATAACAGGATATGACTAATGTAAGTAAACCTGTGATAAGAGTAACTGATTTGATATTAGGTTCTGAAAATGTTCTGTGTTTTGGCACAGAATTCATGTGGAGCAGTCGTTCTGCCAGGAGCAGCAATCTTAATTCAGTTTAATGCTCCAAAATAGATTCACTTCCTTAAGAAAAAGGCTTAAGTGCTTCTGAGCAGTTGAGTTGTTGCTGTTAACTCTGAGGTTGGTTTGTTTGGGTTTCGTAAGCGCTTTCCTCTTTTGCCTGATGTTTGTAGTGTTTGGGGTCTTGGGAGGGAGAAGCATTTCCGTGGTTGATGAGTGTAATTGAATTACAGTTCAGAGTATCACTGATGTTATCTTTAGGTAGTTGTGCTTTAAAGTTACTCCCAAATTTGTCTTAACTCAAGCATCTGGGTTTGGTTTAGCGGAACTGGTAACTAAACTTTATGAGGCAGCTGTAAAGAAGGTTCCCAACAGTGAAGAGTATCACTCCCATCTCTTCATGGCCTACGCCAGGGTTGGTGAATACAAGAAGATGCAACAGGTACGATCAACAGTTTGTGTTCTGGTCATTTTAAGGTACCTTTTTTCTCTATATGTTACTGTTAATCATGAGTCACATTCCAGAAAGCTCAGCTGGGTTAATGCAGAGTTTGGACTGTTATTTTTTATGGAAAGGCTTAAAAGACCATTATTTGAGGGGTGAGTTATCTGAAGACTGGTGCTTGCTTTTCCTTACGTGGGTTAGGACAGAAGCTGTGCCTTTTGTGTGCGTAGTCTGATGGAATATGTTGGTTATTTTGGGAGGGTTTTATCAGTCTGTCAGTGGTTACATATGAGCAGTGTATTATACAAGAATTCTGGAGCAGATAGAAGATCTAGCCAGATCTTCTGATCCGTGTTTCAGACTTGATTTACTCCTTAATTTTACTTTGGGAAGAGTAATCTTGCTCATGCTCTCACCTCTGTAATCTTAACATCTAAGTAGACTTGTATGGGTTGTAATTGAGTGAAGGCAAATTAAAAAGCACTTCCTTTAAGTACATCTCAGCTGGCAGAACAGTGTCATGCTGGTTAGTTTTGTTTTCATCCCTTTCAAATTAGGTGCCTGGAGAATGCCTATAAATGGAAGATTGTTTTCAAAGCGTGTGCGCTCACTCTTCTGTATAAAAAAGCATAGAGAGATGACTAAATAAACCCTAAACTCCTTCTCATTTCCACTGTGTTAGGGTGACTTGAATTTCTGTGCAAATAACTAAAGGAATATATTGAGCAGAAGTGCTATCCTCCAATGTAGCCCAGCTTGCATGCTGTTTGAGTTCAAGCTGTAGATGGGGGCTAAGTTATTAAGGTACATGAAATGACAAGCCTCCTAACACAATCCACACTTCAGAGACATAAGTGTGTTAATTGTAGTCATGTCTACCACCACGAGTGGCAAAAATGCCAGTCTTACACAGATAAATAACAATATTTAACATTTATATGACCTTTTGTATGTTTAAACGGTCATATAAACATGTATCTAGTTAAGTTATCCAGACATTGTCAGGGTAGGATGTTCCAGACTGGCCTATGCATTCAACCAAAGGACTTGGAGATGCAAAGAGTGTGTGGATGCTGACTGATGGGAGAGTGAAGATAAGCCTCAGTGTTCTGGGGTATTTCAGCTGAAAGGACTGGAAAATGCAGTCTGTAGTCAGGAGTTTGGCACACAGATCCCTCTGTGTTAGTATGCTGGATTATATGTAGTTTCTTACACTTAACACAGATTTTGTATGGGTAAAAGTGTTGCCCCTCATTATATACAGGCACTGGAAATCTGTGAGAGAAGTGTGTGAATAACTGTATGTATTAGGCTAGAAAATCTTGATTTCTTTGGCTCTGCTTTGGTACAGCCACGCTTTCAGCTCAGCCTTTGCTTAACCACAGCTTTACTCGTACAGGTGACCTCATGTTTCAGGTATCTGAGTATGTGTATGTGTGACGTGTTGAGGGGCAGTTGCTTACATGAGGGAGGTGTGTGGTTTGCTGGGCCTTTTAGCACTGAGTGAGCATTCGAGTGCAAATCAGCACTGGAAATATCCCCTTCCTAAAAAGTAAGTTTTCTGCTTCCTCATGTAGATACCACTTCTAATTAAAGCTGGCATCTGTTTAGGCAGTCGTATGTGCACATGCTCATTGCTGTTCCTTGTCAGAGCTACACAGAGTACTTTTTGAAACATTTGCACCCTGGGTTTTCTTCTTTAGCAAAGTGTGTTAGGATGGAAGGGCTCATGGGTTGATAGAAGTCCTCCCATCTGGTTGCTAGTTCTGTGTTGTCTCTTGCCATCATTGCTGCTTAACTTGTGTTTGTCATGAGAGCTTGTAAAAAGAGATGTTTCAGGAATGATGAAACTTTGCCTTATATTTTTCAGGCTGGAATGGCACTTTATAAGATTGTACCCAAAAATCCTTACTATTTTTGGTCTGTGATGAGCCTGATCATGCAGGTGTGTACAGAGTTGCAAATGAGTTGACTTTTGCTGCAGCTGCAAATATAGAAATGTTCTGAGTGAAAATATTGGGGATTCTTTTAAGTAAAATGTGTGGTTGAGCAGATTCTGTACAATGCTAGGAGAAGGACTGAGGTCTCCTCAAGTAGCACTATTGATGTGGTCCAAAATGAATGCTGTAGTGTTTTCATAATGCAGCATAACTGGTCTTCCTTTCCACATTTATGTAACTTGAATTATCCTCTCTCCGGACTGTCTTTAGTTAGCTCATGAATAGAACCTCAAATATCTGCAGCTCCTGAGTCAGAACTGTTCCTCTCCAAGTAGGTTACAAAGGCTCTAGGAGGAAATAAATGAGAGCCCTGGGCTTAGCATCTCTTAAAGACTGTAGAAAGTCTGCAGGAACAGACAGCAAATTGGCTGTGCTGCTGCTGGTGATAGCAAATTTGGGCACTGATCAGACAACCCACCAGTGTTGGCCAAACACAAAATAAGCATGGGGGCATTAAGCACCTTCTTTAAAACACTGTGCACTGGAAAACAGAGCTGTATTCTTGCTGCATGTTATCTGCCATGGGTATTGTGTGCCTGGATCCATAAGTCTGGACAGTGTAATTAAGGTTTTCTAGTTTTAGTGCTGCCTTTTCACAGAGCATCTGCACAGGGCATATGGCAGCTCTGAGTGTGTGGGGTTGGGAGGGGGGGTTTGTAGCACCTGGGTGGGGTTTTTCCCTCTTTTAATGTGAAAAAAAAAGCAGTGGTGGGACAAGACATAAAGCTGATGGTCCAGTAACTCTTCTCTTCTTCAGTCTATTTCAGCCCAGGATGAAAACCTCTCAAAGACGATGTTTTTGCCCCTAGCCGAGAGGATGGTGGAGAAAATGGTGAAGGAGGACAAGATTGAAGCTGAGGCTGAAGTAAGGCTTGCAGATACTTTCAGCTTGATTTGAACATTACTGAGGAACTGCACTGCTAAAGGAAGTTGATTATTTGGACAGTTTTCCAAGATAATAATCAGTAGTGTTCTAGAAGTAAATGTGAATGTAATGGGACAGAAAGAGCAGAGGGTTGAGAGGGATTTGGAATCATGCGGCCAAGGAAATATTTTGGCACTTGATTTGACTGATGAAGTACTTGATTTTGCTCCCTGGGAGGCCCCAAGAGAAACTTCAAGACTGAGAATGGAAAAAAGACCTAAATTCCTGAATGCTCCACCCTCTGGGATGCTAAAGATAGCTTTGCAGGCCTGGCTATCTCCTGTTCTAATGACAGTAACACAAGCCCCTTTATTTCTTGCACACCTGGGTCTTGTTTTACCAGCAAATTTCATTGCAGTCTAATCTTTCTTTTAAGGTCGAGCTGTACTACATGATTCTGGAACGTCTCGAGAAGTATAAGGAAGCCTTAGATGTTGTGAGAGGAAAACTAGGAGGTAACTTATTCTGTCTGTTAATCATCAGAGTTGTGTGGAGGGCACAGTGAGTTCTCCTTTGCTTCAGACTTGTCCACTGCCCAAAAAAAGTAAAAAGCTGTAAGAAGCCTGACTCTAGGCACCAGTTTCAAACATTGATGTGAACTCTGGAGGTGTTCTTGTGCAAGCTGGTTTTACCCGCCTGATTATGGTATTTAAGTGCTATTTGCTGATGGACTTAGCAGCAGTGTCCTTAGCAGTAGTAAATTGATAGCATATTGGTTCGTAGCTGCCATCTTCCAAAGAGGTTACTAATATCTTACACTTTTGAGGGTTTTCTGATGATTAAAGTGTTCTTGCAGTTTTAAGGAATTGGGATATGAAGGCTTCCATAGGAAATCTGTCCTTTCTATCCTTTGAGGGCCTTTCTTCTCTTACACTTCCTGATTTGCATCCTGGGCTATATATAATAAGCAGCTTTCTGCAGAAAGTAGAGAAGGAAATGCATTGATTAAATAAAACTTGCCCTTCTGTTTTTAATGTAGAGAAGCTGACAAGTGAGCTCCAAAGCCGTGAGAACAAGTGTATGGCAATGTACAAGAAGCTGTGTAGGTGGCCAGAGTGCAACGCGCTGTCGAGAAGGCTGCTGCTGAAAAAGTGAGATTATATTTCTACTCCCCAAAAAAATGGAAGAAAAATTCTTGCCTGGCTGTGAATTGCCTTTGGTGGGTTTGTAAACGGTGGTTAAAACAGGAGAACATCAGAGGATCTCAAAGCATTTCCGAATGTTTGCCCAAGGAAAAGGGCAGAAGGATGGAATGTTAAAGGATGCGGTGACAGGGAGGGTCAGTTGCTTCTTTTTGAAGGCTGACTTTAGCAACACCTTCATGCAGTCGACTTGTGTTTTCCTCCTTGTTTCTAAAGGCTGTGCTGTTTGTCGAGCTCTAACTTCCGTGGTGGGAGAGGAGGAGAACTGCATTTACGTTTAATTTTCTGGAACCTCATTTCTCTCACTTGGCCAGACTTTGTACTGGGAAATGCTTTGAGCAGATGCATCAGGAGGGAGCATCCTGATATGAATGAACCTGTCTCTTGGAACTGTCAAGAGAGATTTGTTGTTTGCTTTTTGTATTTAGCTTTGAGTTAAACACAGAAGAGAAATTTTTGCCTTAGCATTTTGGGGGGATATTAATGAGCTTTGATTAGAATATGAATGTTAAGAGGAGAGTTTGTAGCTTGCCTCACTTCTGTATTGAAATTGTTTCCTTTAATACGCTTCAAGAAATTCAGGATGATGGCATTCATAAGATGTGAGACCTTTTTGAGGAGAAATGATTCTTACTAGAGATGTTTTTTCTGTATTATGAATATGTGCAATTCCTTAAATCCAGCTTTTGCAAGGAATGCAGTGTTAGAAGTGAGTTATTGGTTTGGCAATTTCCTAAATTTTGTCCTGTGCCTGATTTTTGTTTCAGCTCAGATGATTGGCAGTTTTATATAACTTACTTTGATTCAGTGTTTCAACTCATTGATGAATCGTGGACACCTCCACCAGAAGAAGAGCAGTAAGTTGACAGTTTTACTGTGGATTTGGTTTTCCTTTGTGCTACAGTGAATTGTTCCATTCATATATTCAGCACCACACTGTCTGTGTCTTTTGGGTAACTTCTTGACATCAGACCCCAAATGATGTGCCCTCCCTGCTCTGTTTTGGAGGCTGGCAATAGTTTATTGGAAACCACAGTTTAAATAGTGGTTTGTACTCTGTAGAACTCTTCCAGTTTGTACCTTTCCTGGTGATTGAGTTAGAGAATCCATCATGCCAGATTTCCTTACGAGTGTCCTGGAAGTGTGCTGAACACGTGTTATCAATGGGAAAAATCAAAGAACCTTTTGTCTCTTTACTTGCACAGCTCTTTGGAAGGAGAGGTACACTATTCTATAGAGCAAGCTGTGAAGTTTATAGAAGAGAGGATAACAGAAGAATCTAAGAGCTCTCGGCCGCTTCGGGGACCATATTTAGCTAAACTGGAGCTGATCAGACGTTTGCGATACAGAGGTTGTAATGATGAGTATAAACTAGGTAAGAGCTACTAACTGGGTAATGGATTAATCTTCTGGAGAGAGAACACAAACTTGAAACTCTTTGCTAAATGACTGAGTTAAATACAATTTCTGGTATAAAAATGTATCTGCTGTTGTTTGTATGTAAAGAGTTTTGAAAGCATTAGAAGATGAGCCTTGAAGAAAGGCAGATGGTTCCAGACTACTCCGGGGCTCGTACAAGCAAGCAGGGGAGCTTTCAAAAGGACCCATGGGATCCAGGAGCGCACAGTCACTGACGTGGCAATGAAAAGCTCATTCCTGGTGCACTGCTTTTGTAGAAAGCCCTGCTGTCACGCTGTGACCGCGGGGTGGTTTTTCAGTTCAGCTCTTTGGCAGTAGTACCAGGTTTTGCTTTCTGAAAATCTGCATTTAAAAATCACATTTAGGGAATTGGTGAAGGAGAGAATGTGATTAGAGCAACATCTGTGCTGCTTACTACTTCCTTTTGTATTTCCATCCGGCAGTAAGTTGCCGTTAGATAAGCAGAGGCCTGTTATGCTGAGCTCTTATCTGCCAGAGTAGCTCGAGTGAAGCTCTTGGGGTTTTTTTTCATGTGTCCTTGGTTACCAAAGACATTGAGCCTCTCAAAATCTGCAGTAGTGCAGCTCTCCGTTATCTAATCACTATGTACCCTCAAAGGCGGGGGGAAAGGCATTAACAGAGATTTCTGATGTTCAGGGATGTTACAGACTCAACTTTTAACAGAACATATTAAAAGATGAACTGGCCTTTTCCTAGGTGATCCAGAAGAACTAATGTTCCAATACTTCAAAAAATTTGGTGACAAACCCTGCTGTTTTACTGATCTCAAAGTATTTGTGGATCTCCTCCCATCCAGCCATTATACAAAGGTAAGGAAAGTTAAAGATGTGGTGGCAGGAACTGCAGTGCTTGTTTGCACTGTGGTCCCTTTATCTTAAAATACCTGTGGTTCATATTCAAAGACCTGAAACATCAATTTTTTTACCTTCTCTTTGAGATTCAGAGAACTCTTTGCAGTGCAGGAAATACAATGAACATCTGAATACACTGAGCAATTTCATTCAGAGGAGTTTTACTGGAGACTAAAAGCCGAGTTTGATCCTGCAGAGTCTCAGACCTAATGTCAGATTCACTTGGCTTTTCTATTACCATTTGAAGGTGTCAGGGTGCTTTGGGATGGTCTTGGTTGAATTCTCATATCATGTAATGAAAAGCTCTCTAGGAATTGTAGTTCAGTTTATGAGCTGCCTGATAAACCCATTCTAAATGAGTCATCTCATGACTTGTTCATAGATCGCAGCTTACAAAGTGAAGTAATTTAACGCTACAGAAAGCCCACCCTGTTCATCCATTTGTGGTTCCCTTTGCTGAATACACTAACTTGTTTTACAGAGACATCCTCCTCATTCCCTTCCCATCCATCACTTGTTTTTCCCATTAAAGTTACACGTTTAATGGGAAGAATCTGCTCCCTCATCAGTGCAGGTGGAGCCTCACAGAGATGCTTTCGCTCTGCTGCGGTGCTAAAGAGTGGACACATTGATACTGATCAAAGAGTGACCCAGAGACCCGTGGCAGCTTTTCCAGAACCTCTCTCTACAACCAGCTCCCTTTCAGTTAAAGACTATTTGTGCAGAGTCATGAGCAGCTCATTGAGTGACTTCAGCAGTTGGGAATCCTGTCACTCACCCCATTGTTTTTTGAAGCCATTATGTAAAATTATGAGAGCTGGGGAGGGCTGGACACAGAATCCTGGATCAGCCAGAGGCAGCTGGTGAAATGGAAATGAAATGTAGATAGTGGTGATTGCTAATGCAGGCTCTTCCCACAGCCTCACTGCTAGTGAGAATGGTGGTCCCTGTATGTATGGGTTGCTGCTGATGTTTTATGTCAAAAGGTGTGGTTGTATCCCACTGGCAAGAGATGTGGTCAGAAGGATCTTCCAGAACTTGTACTTCTGGAAATGGTGATACCATTGCAAGGTAGCCCTGAAGTACTGAATAGGTTAAATCCCTAGTTTTCCAAGAAACACATTCTAAAGCTGGAGGAGGGAGTGAAATGATACTTAATAGTTGAGGCTACAGTTTTGTCACAGTGCTCATGAAACCATGACTTTGAATAAATGTTCTAAAATCTTCCAATTGGCCTTAAACCTGCTGCTGATTTAGTGAATGTGTCATATTGTGTCATACTGAGAATGTGGGGATCTTGCAGGGCTGGTAGACACACCAGATAGTCCAGAAATAATCATTGCAACATCTATTGGCTTCCTAGAGGCATAAATCGGAGCATGCAGCCCAGTGATTTGGTTGACCTTGTTCAGCTTGGCAAAATCTCAAACTGAAAAGATTTGTCAGCACAATCTGCATCAGAGTCTATGGGAAAACTGGAATTTGCTGCATGGTGCCTGGTGTTCCTCCTGTCTGGTTGTCGTGCTCTTTTCCTCAGGCATCCATTTGGTGCCATTCTTGTGTTCCAGTAAAGCTGAATTCATTGGCTTTAACTCAGTTTGAAGTTTGGAAACACTGTTGGATTTTAGGGCAATGTCCAGCCCTGACTGTGTGTTGTGAGAACTCTGCTGCCTCCCATTAACATTGCAAACAAGGAGAGGCTGCTTTTCCTACAACTGAATTCAAAACAGAAGTCATTGAATCAAAGCTGACCTCACTGGGGCCAGCGCATGACTTCAGAGCTGAGAGAAAATGTAGCAGCTCATGGAAGCCCACCATTCCCTGGAAGTGTGCTGGGAAGCCTTTCAGTAACTCATTAATTTAATTGCATATGTTATTACTGCAAGTGTTAACAGGTGCTTGAACTCCCTCGTGTGTCAGTGGATTGGAAAGTTGCCTGGGATTTATTTTTTTCCCCTCCATCTGTTTGATGAAATGCCCTAAAAGCTACTGAATGCAACCAGAACTGTGTGCTCAGCACCTTTCACATGCTATATAAATAAAAAGCACTGAAGCCAGCTCTTTAACCATGATTTCAGTGTGATGTCAGGGTTGATGCTGACAGTTCCACCTTGATTTGGGGGAGGAAGGGATGCCCAGCTGCCCTGCAGACTTACCAGCTCTGTTTCTCTTCCAGTTCATCAGCCAGTTGCTGGCAGTAATCCCTCTCTCAGCAGCAGCAGAGGGTGAGCTCGCGCTGCCTGGCGACATCAAAGCCCTGCAGCAGCACTTGTGTGTGGTGCAGCTCTCCAGGTTGCTCGGTATCTATCACGCCATGGAGAAGAAGCAGAAGCTGAGTGTGGTCCGGGAGCTGATGTTGAGATACCGCCATGGACTGGAGTTTGGTGAGGAAAAACTTGGAGCTGATGTTGCAGTTCACTGCAGCTTCTCGTGAGCAGAAGTTCAGGGCTTTTTCATGGGGATGGTGCAGCACAAATGCTGATGGCACCCCTCGTGCTGCTAGATAGTACTTTGCTTTCTCCTGTGTACTCATACCCTTGAGCCAACCTGAATTCTCTTTTTCTTTTAACTTCTTTTACTTTTCAGTCACGTATCTTAAAGATGAGATATTCCTAGGTAGTTCAGGTGGAACATTTGTATCTAGGTAAAACTGCCTGTGCCTTTAAGCAAAGCCAGGCTTAACTATTGGTGCACACAGGACAAATACCCCCCCAAGGGTACTAGTTTGTAAATCTTGCAGGAGTGTCTTTTCTTCTTCCAGCAGATGTCAACATGTGAAGTGGCCCAAAGTCCACTCGTGGTGAACAAATGCATTATGTGTATACAGATGTCTTAAGTTTTAAGACAGCTCCGGATTTTATAAGCTAAGCTGTGGTTATTTGCCAGGTAGCTCTGTCATTTGATAACACTGACAGTGTGAGAAGCACCTGACAGCAGTGTCAGTGATTCAAGGGTAACTTTCTTCTTTCTTTTTAGGAAAGTCTTGTTTGAAAACTGAATTGCAGTTCTCAGACTATTACTGCCTGCTTGCAGTTCACCTGCTGCTTGACCTGTGGCTGGAAGGTAGGTTCCTAAAAGTGTGACTTGATTAATCCCACCCTGGATGGCTGTGACAGGGAGGCTGTGTCCCTGTGGCCACTCTGTACCTGGCAGGGCCTGTTTAGGCCTGCAGCTCTCCGGGTTTTTTCCTCAATGCGAGGTATTTCAGGAGTCCCTCTGTTAGGCTGGTGTTTGATCTGAATCTCACTGACCTCTAAAGGGATTTAATTATTCAGATGAATTCATATAAGCCTTGGCAGAGCTTTGCCAATGACTCCTGCAGCTCAGTGCTGGCTGTCTTCAGAAGCTTGTTCCAAGTTTCCCATGTAGGAAATGTTTTGTCTGCCTTTGCACAACTTATGCTGACAGCTCCCTTCTGGAATCAGAGGTGTTTTGAGAGCATTTCTTTCCCTCCCCGACATACTTTGTCTTTTGGATCCCTTGCTTCTAGACCTCCTGCTGGGACCTGTTGCCCTGTGTTGAGTATTCCTGTACTCCACATCCACTCTGCCTGTTAGTCTCCTATACCCACAGAGTCAGTCTCCAGTCGTGGTTGTCCATGGGCACTGTTTGTATTCCACATCCTTCAGGGCAATTGTCATTTATGCGTTTGTCTTTCCTAAGGAAGATTTAGTCTTTAACCTGAGGAAATCCATGGTCAGGTTCCTGGCAGGCCACCAGTGGAGGGTTGAATTCCTGGCTGTGTGCTGCTTTCTTGCATGATGCTAGAAATCCTGAATAGTCCAGGACTCATAAGGGAGGGTCACTTCTGCAGTGTGTGAGGGCTGTGCTCTGCACTGGTGTGAGCTAGATATTCCCTGTGAAATTATTCTTCCACCTTTCCTTCAGAGAGCAGCTGTAGTGGGTGTTGTGTTCATGAGCAGCAGCGTGGCTGAAGGATGCCATCTGCATGTTTAAATGCATTATGAGAGGTGTGTAACATAAGGAAGCTTCAATGCCAAAGTGAACTGTGCTCTGTTCAGTGCCTCTCTGATCACTCCTGTTTTGTCCTTGTCACCAGGTGAAGAGACAGCTGTGTGGCAGTGCCTGACCCTGTTAGAAGAAGGGTTATCTCATAGTCCTTCTAATGCTCAGTTTAAATTGCTGCTCATTCGAATCTACTGCAGGCTTGGTGCATTTGAACCCGTTGCAGAGCTCTATTCCAGCCTTGATGCGAAGCACATACAGCACGACACCATCGGGTGGGTAGTATATACTGAGAATAATTGGTGGTGGTGACCCTCCAGTAACCACCCCTGAGATCTGCAGTTTCCTTTGTTACCAAAAGTTAGCACATTATCACATTTTCATACAGTGTCCTGTAAAAGCGTGTTGGAATTTTGAGAGACACGTCTACTGTATATGCTCCCCTTCTTGTGGAGGATCTTCCCTGTGTGGTTTTGATGTGGTTTGGGTTTTCAGAGTATTAACTAGGGGGAATATGAAAGAAGTTTGTGAACTGTATATATTGATGCCAGTCATAGCTTGGTGTGTTCCAGCTTGTGTTACTGCTGAGCAAAGCTTGGGAGTGCTAGTGGAAACAAACACACCAAATGGCCTTGCCTTGGTCAGTGTGTGGTGGGTATCTTAAGTCAAGCTCTTGCACATTTAAGGTGGGTGGAGGAACTCTGATCCCCCACGTACTGTTTTTAAAAGCCTGAATTTTAACATGAGTGTTAACATCTCTGTTAAATCTCCAGACTCTGCACTGAAGCTGGGCTCTGCTGCACATCGCTGTGCAGAGCTGTGTTTTGAAGTTCAGGTTTCCCCAGGGTTGTGTGTGCTGGTGTTTGACTTGGGCTGTGTTGTGTTGCAGCTACCTTCTGACGCGCTATGCAGAGTCACTGGGCCACTACGCTGCTGCATCCCAATCCTGCAATTTTGCACTCAGGTTTTTCCACTCCAACCAGAAAGATGTAAGTTGAAAGAAACCTCTGTGTCCTTTAACAGAGCAGTGTGTCAAGATGCCTTACAGAAACCTAATGTAAGGGCTTACAGAAATGTGGAGGTTGATAACATGATAACAAAGAGGAATTATACGTGCAACTTTGTAGTAAAGGTTGCCTAAACCTGTGTTTCTCGTTACAAGGATTTGTAACTTACTGTTACATGGGGCTTTGCTTCAGCTTGATAAAAGCCAGTTTTAATGCTCCTCAAAAAAACCCAGGCCTGATTACTTTTAAATGAATGGATTGTGGTTTTTTGCAGTATTTGAAGTGAAATGTCATGTGGTAAATTAAGTCCTGATGTCATAACTTATAGCCCTTTGGAAAGGCATACAGCAGCTGGGGATGGTGGGTGACGATGGTGGTGGCGAACGTATGAATCCTTTATGTTCCAGTCACTGAAGCTGCATGTTCTGTGTCCTGGGCACACAGGGATGCTGGGGAATGCACATCACTTTTAAAAGGCAGGGAAAGCAGAAGGAACAAGGTGGGAGGATTTCAGAGGGGGGAAAACAGTCTGGAAGTCTCAGCTTCACTGAAGGCAGAGCAGAGCCCGTGACTAACGGCATTATTTTGAAGCGATAGGATTGAATTGCAAAACTTGGTCTTGAGCTAGTGGGAACTATGTGTTTTATTCAGTTCACCTCTAAAAGTGATGTGAATGAAAAGAAAGTTGTCTTGAACAAGCATCTTAACACTGGAATGGAGGAGACAGAGAGTGGAGAATAGCTGAATTCCTCCAGAGATGGGGTACTTCCTAAAATGCACTCTCTGCCCTGGGCATCTCACATGCTTCAGTTTGCTGATTAGTGACTGTACTTGTCAATAATGTTACTTGGGAAGTGCACTCTGATGTACATCCTGATCCATTCATAGGGAAGGTATCAGTTCTGTTTCAGAATTCCTGTGGAATCCATGAAAAACAGGCTAGGTAGGAGAACAGTGGAACATGGTTTTGGAGGCTTGGTGGAAATTAATTGGGCAAATAGGAACAGAAATACTCCAGGAACATGGCAGGGAAGTATATGCATGTCGACAATCTCCCTGAAACTTACAAGGCAGTCCCATTCCAGAAGTGGGATTAGATCCTGCATATTTCTATTTTACAGTTTGAAAACTATTAAGAGGTAGAAGAAAAATTTTTCTTTGTAAGAACAAAGATGCAATCTAGTTGTAACTCTGCCAGTCAGCCACAGGCTAAATTGCCTCCTAAGTCTCTGCAGCCATACAACTTGCTTTCCTGCTATCCTTGCAATAGACAGAAACACAGGTCTTGTACTGAACAGTAGAGATGCTAAAGATGCTGACACAGTAATCCCTCAGGAAAAGCACCCTTGCTCTGTTGGCAGCTCAGATTATTCCTGTGTACAATATATACCAGTTGCCATTTGTCTGTGCCTGGAAGGTAGATGCTGTTACCTGTGTCTGACAGATTTTACTGTAGGGAGCAGGATGCACAGAGGAGCACGTGGATTGTACAATGGGAGCTCGCTCTTGTCTGCATCCCTCATTTGCTTATTGTTTAAGCACTAATTCTACTTGATAAGAGTCTTTGGGTGCAATGTTTTGTGCAGGAGTGGAGCCCTGGATCCAGGCAGCTTTCTCCTACGTGTCTGTTGTTGGTAGTAGTGGCTTTATTTTTGTTGGGTTTTCTTTTTGCCCTCCTTTTTTAAAAGTCATGTGGTGGATATTAGTGAAAAGCATATGTGGAAGCAAGTGTCAGAATGAAATGCATGACTGCTGGGTGCCACATGGAAGAAGTGGAACCGCAGAACTATTGGATGTGATTTGTCTGCTTGGGAACACTACAGCGTAAAGCATCAAGAAATCGTATTTCCCTGGAAAACAAGCTGAAGTAACATCAGGTGTGGTTACCTTGGAAGAAGGGTATTCTCTTTGGCATGAATGATGGTGCTCGCAGCAGAGAGAAGCTGGTTGTTTCCAGTAGCTCAACATCTGCACACGGGTGAAGACAGCCACTTCCAAGTGCTGTTGCCAGGAAATCGCTACTCGACTTGTGTTCTAGAAGTACCTCACTAATACACCTTGAAAGGTTGAAATTGCAAAGTGGTGCAATGAGCATTATGTACTTCATGCTGCAAGATAAGGATGTGACTGTGGAACAGATAATATCACAACTCATCTTGGAGACAGAGTATTGCAACGAAAGGACCAGGAGCTGTTTCTGATCTTGGGTAGCCAAATCTCTTGTGTGTTCTGGACACTTCCAATGGTTATCCCCTTAAGATCATTTTAATTGGGAAATGTGTTAAAATCTGTACTAATAGGCAAAGAGCAAGTGTCCTTTAAACCCACTGCAAGGTACAAATTGTGGGAGGTGAAGGCTCAGTTCAGGGTACTGTTCACCAAGGATGGTGGCATGACAAAAGTGGAGATGAAAAAAGGGGTTCCTTCCCATAAAGCATATCCCAGGTATCACCAGATCAGAATCTACTACCAGTCTCTGTGCTGCTGTGGTTCTACTAGGGTTGCCCCTTCATACTCAGGGTCCTGATACCAGCTTCCCATTCGAGTCCCATAGCAGCATCTAACTGCAGTGTTAAAGGAAGACTATCCTTCAGAAGTTACCTTTTTACATCACTTGAGATACTGCCTGCTCCTCTTGAGGCTGATGTTGGAGATAGCCGAAATGTCTGCTGCAGCACAGAGAACGTGTCCTGCAGCACGCTGTGCGTGGGACTCTGCCTAGAACAGGAAGTGTGGGGTATAAACCAAGTGCTCTGGCACAAAAATACAGCTACTGATTCAGACTGTTTGCTTTGGAGAAATCCATTTTCCTTCTGACTTGCTGAACTTCACAGCCTGAAGTGAATCCTGGTTAAGAGTGGGTCCCCTGAGTAACAGCCGTCTAGGATGCTGTGCAGTCCTGACGTAGTGTTTCTGCTCTGGGAGAGGATGCCAAGGACAGGGAGGAGAGAGAAGGCAGTATTGCTATATTTAGCCAAAACTGAAAAGGCAACTTTCTCTTTCTCGAGATAGTCCTCCATTAACTATGCAGAATCACAAGTAATCTCTCTAATTTTCTTGTGTCCGTCCGTCTTTAATTTCTCCAGATACTGCAGGCACACAGAGCACCAACGTGTCCCATGGGGATTAAAAAACCACGTGGATGCAGTTGACTTAGCACCCATAGCGCAGCCCGCAGCCTGACAATGAACTCTGCAAGGCTGTTTATCACAGGGTACGTTGCTGACTATTTGGCATATTTTTTTCATACAGTGCAAATGACCAAATTCCTTAGGGGAAATAAAAAGATAGAGTGACCTAAAGGCCATTCCTGATTTTGGAGGGAAGGAAGAAGGTGGCTTTCACCTGTGAGTGCTAGCTTCTAGTCTGTCAGAGCCTTCCAGACAGGTTGAGTCTGTTAGTACCATATAAAGTTGAGTTAAGCAGAGGCCTTTTTCGGTGCCTCTCAGCTGCAGTGCATTTCATAGCCTTGTTCAGAAGGAAATATTTGACTTGCCAGAATTTCTCAGTTGTGGAGTAATTCTGATGTAAAAAATGCAGCCATCTGTCTTGACTGGGAGCATGAATGGTTCACTCTATCTCTACAGGGAGAAAGTTTCATTTAAACCTAGTGCTTGTCTGCTTCACATCACTGGACTGATGTGAAACATTAGCTGTGTGCCTTGTGTTGCTGCAGTTCATCAGAGGGGAAGCAGACTGTCCCACGGACCCTGACAGTTTCCTTTGGTGTTTAGGTTGTATTGTAATGTGTACACACTGCGTGATGTTACCTTGTGATGCTGTACTGAAAAATCTAATAAAAAAGAGAAACAAAAAACCAAATGTGTGAGTAATTCTTTTTAATCTGTGTTGTGGTAACACGTGATGCACATCCAAGTCAGTGCTAGAAAATTTGGGGGGTATTTATTTTGCCTGGAAGTACTTCTTACAATGAAAGAATGATTTAATCATTTGAATAATGCAGAGAGAGAGAAAAAAGCCTTCCAAAATCATCTCTCCCCTCTAAGTCTTTTTCAGACTGAATGGTGACAGCAATGTGATATATCTTAGTGCTGGTTTGGTTGTTAAATCACCTGCCTGGTGGAGCATTTGGGTGTTCTCAAATTCAAGTAGCAAAACTGCTGGGGTGATTTGGACAAGCAGACGTCCCAGATTCTGTACCCCCGGGGTAATGACAACCACAGAAATGCAATTTCTTGGCAGTGGCCTTGTTGAACTCTGGTTGTTCTGAATGTATGGAAGTCACTAATACAGGGACAATGTGTGTTTTCTTCCAGACCTCAGAATATATCATTCAAGCCTACAAGTACGGTGCGTTTGAGAAGATCCCGGAGTTCATTGCGTTTCGAAACAGGCTGAACTCTTCCCTTCACTTCGCGCAAGTTCGCACAGAGCGGATGCTCTTGGACCTTTTACTTGAAGCAAACATGTAAGTGCAGCACCTTGAACCTGGAAAAACTGGGAGATTTGTGCCAAGGCAGATCAGTGGCCAAGTGGGACTTGGTGAGTTGCACTTGCGGCTCCAAGGGCAGAAACCTGTGAGATAGGTCTCTCTGCTTCTGCTCTGCTCTCCCCTTTGGTGTCCTTGCCAGTATCACGTTCATGTAACACTTCTGACATCAGAAGAGTTGAGCAGTGGAGACAAGGTGCTCTGTTAGTGAGCTGTGTTTTCTGTTTCCAGGGATCAAATGTTTTAATCTCATGTCGCTTGTTCTCACGTGCAGATCAACCAGTTTAGAAGAAAGTATAAAGTCCATGAGTCTGAGCCCAGAGGAGGATGACATTCCTTGGAAAGATTTGCGCGACAACAGAGACCTGACAGTCCTGTTTAACTGGGATCCAAAAGACAGGTGAGTAGAAACACCCCCAACTCTAGTCACACCTTTTCCTTACATGTGGCAAAGAAAATCCTTCGAGGGCAGCTGCTGTATTTGAATGTTCCCTGGGCTGGCTACCTGCACACTTACCAAGCATCACTCATCCCTTCCAGCAGTGCTGCCTTTTGACATATTAATACAGTTTTCTGAATTTCTGACCACTCCTTCCTCTTCATATAATATTAGATAACTTTGGGTAGGCTTTTGTGCCTGAGTGAAGCTTGCTACTTTGCACAGTTGAAGCATTTGCCTGAAAACATTTGGTGCCTTTCTCTAGGGACATTTCTGAAGAACATAGGAAACTCTCACTGGAGGAAGAAACCATGTGGTTGCGAATCCGGTCTTTAACTTTAAGGCTAGTAAGCGGACTCCCAACTCTTAGTCACACTATTCAACCAAAGAACTCTGAAAAGACTGCAGAGAACGGCGTCTCATCCAAGATTGATACAATCCGATCCCTGCTCCAGCAGCTGGAAGCGGCAGCGGATTCAGGGAAGAAGTTTCTAGAACAAAAAATTCAGGTACCCGTTAAGGAAAAAGCTATCCCCACATATTAAGTGAACGTGAATGCAAGCAGAGAAACTGAATGCATCTTGTAACGTCCAGCAGGCTGCAGAATGCACTTAACTGACCCTGAGTTTGTAGTGTATGAATCTGACTGAGAGATGTGCCAGAGACAAAACACTGTGTTCTGGATAAGGAAAAGCTGCAACACCTTTATCTTTTTCTTTGCTTCTTGCCTAGTATCCTGTCCTTGGCCCTCCTCCTACCCGAATGGCTGGCTTCTTCAGTAATGGCAGCTGTCAGTGCCAGACTAGCTTGTTTTATCTTGTTAGTGATATTTATGAACTAGATACCAATGGCTTAGGTAAGTGTTTGAGGGGCAGGGGCTGAACCAGATTGTCATGATGTGTGGTGGGAGGGAGCGAGACGTGTCTCTGTTTAGCTTGAACACTGACAGGCACTGGATGATGGGGACCCAGACTGTTGATTTTTTGACTGACACTAAGTTGCCTGGGAGATGATGCCTTCATTTAATGTTTATGCAAGTCTTCATTTTTGTACAGTACATGTTGATGTAATACTGGATCCTCTTTGAAAGCAGTTGCATTTGCTTTTGACTGCTAACACTAAACTGTATTTATATGTTTAAATGCCTCTTGGTTTTCTGAAAGCAGAAAACACAGAATTGTAGTTTATAACTTTTTTTTTTCTTTTCCCCAGAAGATTCAGCAGAAATCCAGGAGAGGATAGGGAATAGTTTCAAGTCCTTAGTAGAACGACTGACAGGTAAATGGTAACTCGAGAACAAACACTGGTAGCTAAGGTAGTGCCTTGTGGTGCTTTGAGGACGTGCTGCTGAGTGTGCTGCAGTTATGTTATGGAGTGTGTGTTGGTGCAGCTGCAGACCCCTTTGAATGGTGTTTGAGAACAAGGCTGAGAATCCCCTTGGCTTGTCTGGTCACCAAGCTGTTGCATGCCACAGAGTGTTGTTATGTCCTATCATTTTGCTTACCCTGCAGCCTAGGCTTAGCAGTTTATGTCCTCCTGGCACTTTGTCCAGATGTGCTAATAAATGGTGTGGAGATAATGTTTGTAATTAAATATCATTCAGAGGAAACTTGAGAGCTGGACCTTCCTGAGAGGCTTGGGCCAAATTTATCACTAACTGCTTAGTGGTCAGTCCTCTGGCAGTTTTGCACACTACACTGAGATAACTTCTGTACAGAAAGCACGCGCTCCAGTTGATCTGTGTGTCCTGAGTATTGCTTTTCTTTTTTCCTTTTCAGACTTGTTCAATAAATGTAAAGGTGATTTGATTGAAGTCAGAGATGGCACCTTGAAAACCCATCCAAGCCTGTTAGAAAACCTGGTCTTCTTTGTTGAGGTATTTTTTTCTTTGGAAACTAGAAATTTCAGACTACTTTAGGGTAGAAATGTTGGGGCTAAAACACAGTGGAATTCCTTTGACCTCAGTCACTCATGAAAGCAGAGGGGTTTGTTCCATGTTCTAACTATTGATTCCTACCAGTAGGAACATTAAAACGAGTTTGTAAATGCAGAATGTAACATATTTGTACCTTTATTCCAGACGATCTCCATCGCCCTGTGGGTATCCAGTTACTGTGACAGTGTCCTCCGACCTTTTAAATCCAACCTGCAGAAAAAGAAGAAGAAAAAAAAAGAAAGCAGTTTAGCCATGGTAGAGACCATCTTCCTTCCTGTTCCCCCCCAGCCCCATCCAATGGCATATATATACTGGGGAAAAAAAAATCAGGATAGATAACCTGTCAATAAAGTGTTTTCCGTAAACTTTGCCTCGTAGAGGCTGCTGAGAGACATTACTCAGTCCTCATTTTTGAAACTCCTTTTCTCTCTTAAATGGTGACGTGCCACATCTCTCATGTCAGATGCTTTTTAATAGGAAGCGGAGTTTAGAAGCCTTCCTGCCTTGAATGCAGCACAGTAAACTTGGCTGGGTGGGTGGATTATAGCTTAGCACTGGGGGGAAGGAGCAGCGTGATAGACTTTACAAAGTGAGTTGTCATATTGAATCATCATCATCATAGGCATTCATATGTGTTTATAAACATGTGTGTTTGTTTTTATAGCCACCTGTATTTACACATTTCCTGGATTATGTTACTGAGCTACAGACGTTAACTTCCAATGTAATAGATCACATCAAAGGGCTTGAAATCATTCTGACTGCACTAAAACTTGAAGAGCTGTCCCTCAAGGACACTCTGCTTTTACAGGTAAGAGCTTGTGGTGGTGTTTGTGTGTGACTGATAACAACCTGTATGTAAAGACTTATAGGATGACTTTGTTGAAAGCTGCTTTTCACCAAAATGATTTACTGGAAGGAAGAAAAAAGAGGAAAATGAACAAAAAACCTGTTATGATTGAATGAATTGCTCTTAACCAGAGGTTAGGGATCAGACTGCTGGAAAGCTTAGAGTGCTGAGTTAGGGTTTGTTTTCAAGGTGACACAGTGACTTTGCCCCATCTGATCAGCTCCAGCTTACTGCACAAAACAAGATCTAAACACCAGGATTCTAAAATCCATTCATTTTGTGTGGTATCTTAGTGAAGAAACACTTAAAAGTTTTAACATTATTTTGTTGTCTGGGATATGAGTTATTCTGTTATCTGTGTTTTAGCAGAAAGGATGCAAATAACATATTTCAGGAAGCATTTGAGATTCACCCACTGCTGATTAGTCACTTTCCTGGAAACAATTTCTTGATCTTTATGGAAAAACAAGTGGCAGCTCCTCCCCTGCCCGTAGCTATATAGAGAAAATCAAAGGCAGGAGTGATAGGTGCTACACATGACAAACCTCATGCTGCATTTAGACATGTGAAGCATGAGGAAGCTTGGGAGTTTTTAAGTCATGGCAGTCAGATAACTTGTCTGTCCCATTTAACTCTTTAATGATATTGCCATAAAGGGATCTTCTAACAGTTTGATGTTTACTATGAATGTATTTACTTAGAACAGTGGCTGAGATCTTAAAACTATCTTTGAAATAGTGACAGAGTCCAGCTACAAAGCCTCAAAGTGATGGAAAGCATAGAACTGGGATTTCCTTGATGGTGCTCTTGAACTGCAGGTGGGGGATAAAAGGTGCAACATAGCACAGTGGTGGAACAGGCATCATTTGATACATGGGGGAGTGAGGAGTCATTGCTCCTTCTCAAAGCAGGATTGAAGATTCCAGGAGAAAGGACTGTTTCCTCACCAATGTTGGTTTGGGGGTGGCAAAGACTGGGAGGGAGCACAAATTCAGTCAGGAACCAACACTTAAGACAAAACCAGGTCTCCAGTATATTTATCTAAAATGGGAAATTTGGCCTACGGGGCATTGGTGTTCGGGTTTGTCTAGAGGGGAGATCTGGAGGCTTTCGAATTGGGAAGGATTTAAATGCTGCACCCATCTGTTTCAGAGCTGCACATCTGCCCACTGAACCTGCGTTAGCCAGCTGGTGTCTTTTTCAGTTGGATTGGCCTGTTTATTTCATAGCATAGGATTTAAAACATCCCTTGTTGCTGTATGAGGCGGATGTAGAAGTCTCTCAAATATATATATAAAAATATATATACATACATATAAAAGAAACTGCAAAAACTAATAGAAAGCAAGGAAATCCCTTACTGTATTTAATGCAAATATGAATAAAACTAAGCAGTATGTTTTCTTAATACCGTCAAAGAATCTTCACTTTAAAGTCAAGATTCACTTTAAAGATAAGATGCTTTAATCATGGATCTGTGTAATTTTCCTGGTTTCTCACTGACTCAGCAAATTCCTCTTCTTCCCCTTGATTGGCATCACGTTACTGCACAAGGCAGATGTGGAAGAAATGACTGTTAGCACGTGGATTTGAGCAGAAGCAGCTGGGAGACTCTGGAGCTTCTCCTGTGTTTGCTCACTAACATTTGCTGTCCTGGTGTTTGACATTGTCACAGTAAATCCTGATGAACACAGTCTGTGTAGCTCTGCTCAAGCTTGGAGCTGGGTTTGCAGCTCTGTGTGTCTAGAGCTAAAAGGTGCTTTTGAAGAAGTCCTCATATTCAGGTATTAGGATAAATTGTGGTGATGCTGGTGATGGGCCAGTTGAACCCTGCCACTGGTATTAGGTTTTCTCACATGGGATTGGTTTACTTGGGTGGCGTCTTCCAGGTGTTGTGTCTGCAAAAGGCATCCTGGTATCAAGTCACCCCTCCATGGAACAGCACTTACGGTGGTTATATGCTTTGGCACCGGGATTTGCTCTCTCTGTAGGTATCAGCCACAAGTATTTTGCACGAGGATGTTTCCAGCCCTTAGGAAGAAATGTTAATGTGTTACCAGTCCTGTCTGGGCAACACCAGTATCTGCAGAATTACTGCTGCTGAGCTGGTGCTGCTTATTCTGTCCTGATGACGTTCCCTTTGTAAACTTACACCGTGGGCTTCATGGATTTCTCATCAGCGCTTGAGATGGTGGGGGAAAGGTAAAGGGAGGATTTAAACAGTTGCTGTGGGGTGAATGATTTCTCTTTTGCATTTTGCAGGAAGAAAAAAAGTTTACAAAGACTGTGCAAGGGAAGGTGCAGAGCAGTTACCATCACTCAGTTCAGGAAATTGGAGAGCTGCTGAAAAAGAGACTCGATACCATTAAAAAACTAAAGATTTGAGAACTGCATCCTTGACAGACTCTACAGGGGAGTGACACCAGAGTCCCAGACAGAAGCAACGTCCAATATACCATCACTTTAATCCAGAACTTCCTCATAATGCATGAAGGACTTAAAATCATAAACCAATTTTTTTAGGTATTACAGATGTATTGAGCTGATTTAAATTATTGTACATAAATGAGAAGCAGGGACCCTTATCGGGGTTTGACCACTTTTTATACATGTTCATAAGCATATTGCAACAGGAGAAAATTCACTTTCTTCCCTTCCAATCTCTAGAAACAACTGGAGATGGTCTTTAGAAGCAGCAATAGAAATCCAGTGTAAAGCATATATCTCAAAGGAGTTGTATTTTCATCACCATACAGTGTTTATAATTTTTGTATGGTCTTTGCCTTAGAAATGCAGAAGTTGTAGATGCATTTGGCCGCCTCCAGTGAAATGAGCCTGTTTTGGAGCTATTCTGTCCTCAAGCCACCAGGTCCTACTGAATGAATTCAGTGTGGTGGTCCCACAGGGAGAGGTGAAGCTGTGCTGGAGGAACACCCTCAGTGTACAGCCAGCCAGCAAGCGTGGGAGTGAGCCAGGCCTGGTGGCAGGCAGGTTCCTCTAAGGAGAGAGCTGCTGGAGAGGAGAGATGGTGGTGGTGGTGGTGTGTTACATGGGTTGTTTTCATGTTTGGAGTCACTGCAAACCTGCTGAGGAGCAAACCTGGCCACTAAGCTTGAGAGAGAGATGTGAATTGGTGTTTCAGCAAAAAAGACAAAACCAGAGACCTTGTATATAATGGCTGCAGTGAAGTCTGACGCTGTGGCCTGGTTCCATGTCAGTTCAATGTCAAGGCAATCATCATGACTTTTACAAAGTGTATTTAGATTACTGAAACTTTAAGACGTAAATATTTTAATAGCAATTGAATTGGGTTTAAGTTGGCAGAGGTTAACTTTTGCTTCCGCTGTGGTATGAGGCTGAGAATACTTTCTGTAACTGTTTGCTTGCTTTTTGCAGTTGATCTTTGATGATTTGAGTACTTGCTCATTAGGTGTTCTGTTAGAAAGTGCAGTCGCATCATGTGCTCCCACTGCATCTGCATTTCTGCCAGGGGTTTTCTTCATTTTAAAGGAGTAATGCAGCCTAAATTGTAGGCAAAAAAGAGTTTATGTGAACTTGCAATACAGGGACAGGTCAGACTTGACAGATTCCTCACGTCTGTTTTAAAGCAGCCAGTATCTGAAGTCTATATTTAAAGTTTTAAGAGCTGACAATCCTGCCTTTGTCATCTCTCTCTGTTTTATTAGTGATGTTAGAATGTCGAGGAGAGTATTTTTTTAAATAAATCCCCTGTATAAAAAGAAAAAAAAAATACTAATTTGACAGAGCTGCTCTTGCTGGGTTTAGTTTTGCTTTGCCCCATCCTAAAAGGGAAAGAAGAATGTCTGCAGGTTGTCAGAATTGTAATGGATGTCCTGATGGTTTAACTGCAATGTCTGGTAAGTGCTCTGGGCTGGAGGAATACCAAAATGTGTTAAGTCTGTTTTATGGTAATACTTTTCCTTGGGGAGAAGGAAGAGAAAAAAGAACCAAGTGAACTCTTACATCTTGTATAGAAATACCTTTTTTTGAAAGAAAGAAGAGCGTGCTTCTTAAATTAAAGCAAGACTGATGACTGTAGTTGATGCTTTCACATGTGTAGGGTGAGTGAAAACAGTCCCATTGCTGAGCTGATGCAGTTCAGAGAGAAGCACTGAGCCAGAAATCCATCCTCTGCCCCTTCTCCTTGCGGGGTGCTGATGGTGTCCCCTTCCCTCCCTCTCCCATGGCGGTGCTTCACATACCAGCATTGAATGCAGAGTGACACAGCACCCTCATCCCGAGGCATGGGTCATGCTGGAGTTTCCTTCCACTGCTGCTACAACAGGTTGAACTCAACCAGTCGTATCGATAAGCAATGGTGAAAATAAGCGTAAGGTTAATATAGCCAGGCTTTTAAAACCCTGCCATGTGCCTGAAAGCAGAACTTGCTTTTTAAAAAGGGTTTCTGCATCAGCTCCCTTAAAAGCAGAACTGAAACTGCTGGAGGGGGGGACGTGTGTCATCTGAAGCAGAGGCTGAGTGGAGATGGATCCACTGCTGGCTCTTGCTTCCTGTAGCACGGCTCAGCCAGCCTCGTGCCAGCTCAGGGGCCGTACTCACTGTCTCAGTGTTGGCTGCTGCCCTGTTCCCAGTTCCAGCTATTGGCAAACAATCAGCTTGTCAAACCAATACAGGGTTTTGATTACGTGGTGGTTTATAAACCCAGATGCCATCTCTTTACAAGCTGTAGTTTCTTTACAGGAGGAAATGGTGTACAATAATGACTACGTACTGATTGACTGGGGCTTGGTTGAGGGAGAGTTTCTCTCCCCCTATATATTGTGTACAGTTAAAAATATTATATATTTCTTACAAAAGAGCATTTCCCCTCCAGAATATGTCCCACAGGGACAGATGAGAAAGTGAAGCTGTAACCCATTGCTGCTGCTCCCTCTTTTCCACTCTTGGGACTTGATTTTGTTTCTGGGGTTGTTTTTATTTTTTGGGGGGGGAGGTGATAAATTGGAACCATACCTAGAAGAACCTACCAAGACTACTGTTTACAGACTGAAAAGTACTGCTTTTATACTACTGGGATCATGAGCCACGATCCTTTTACAGATTTTCTCAACTGCTTAAAATCAGTGTCTAATGTAGATAAAGGTCAGAAGTATGCTCTCCTTTGTCTACACACAGGACAAACCCTACAATGCCTGTTTGTGTTGCCCATCATTTTTGTACTTTTTAACTGTTCAAAAATTGCATTTATATTTTGCAATCATTGATAATCGTGACTTTATTTTAACTGCTAGTAACCTTAGAGGGTTTTTTTTGTTGTTGTTGTTGTTGTATCTGCAGCCTTACCTGACCTTTCTCTTCCTGGATTATTCATTGTTAATTTATGATTGTAGGAGATACGTTTGCCTCAGCCTTCTACGGACTTAAGTGACACAACTGCAACTGATCTGCTTTAAACTGGATGGGTTTATAATTTATATAAAAGTCAGTTTCGTTACAAATCAGTATTGCTGCCTCTTTCATTTTCCTGTCTGGAAGTGCCTGAAGTGCTTGCTTACGCTGTGTAGCTTTGTGCTGAAGCCAGACAATCCTGGTGCTGGGCAAGCAAAAAATCAAGTTGGCGACAAAGAGGGGAAAACACTCGTTGCTTTTCACCTGTGCCCTGGGTGCAGAATGGTGTTTGCAGAGGCTGGAGCTCGGGTGTGTCCTTCAAGGTGATCACCTGTCAACGTGCTCCTCGGGCTCTCTGCAGTGCTTGCTTGCACTTCAGCCTGGCTTTCAGTGGTAAGGAAGGTAAGGGTGGCGGTGCAAGAGAGATCTCTACTAGCACAATAAAACGGCCTTGAGAGGGCTGCGGCCATGCCTTGCAGCGGCCCCCTGCCTGCCCTGCTGCTGTGTATCGGTACAGACACCCGCGCTGGTCTTTCCTCTCCCTGTATGGCCCCAAGCGCTGCAGGCTCCTGCAGAGCCAGCCCCTCCCTTCTGCCCCCGCTCCT